ATAAACCTTCTAAATTCAGGAGTTAATTTTGCTTATGTCAATGTCGATGTGGAAAAAACGGCTCCTCGATGTGGGCGGGTTGCAGTAGCTGATTCGGGAGTGCAAAAAACCGACTCCCGATGTTATTTCATCCTTTCCCGCTACCGAATATTGGGGTATATAAATCAATAAACAAAGAGCCATTAGTTGTCTGACAATTTCCGTTGGATAAATCACGAACGGTACAAAAACTGGTCGTATAACGCACTTCGGTAATAAGGGCGGGGTAGCTGTTATACAACTACGGTATACACCATTTTGATACCGAATTTAATTACACTAATACACTACCATACACATCTATCAGTCCACTTAGCGTTATTAGTTTCAACGTTCTGTAGCAGAAAAATAATTAAGTATGGTTGGGAATAATTATATATTTTAAACAAGTGTGAGTCGGACTCGCCCATGAAGGGTTCCGTAGCAGCAAGTAACATAATATAAAAGTTCTTGTAGTTCGTTGTATCTTTGATTGATGTTTTAATAATAGTGTATTTTTTTAATTGATTTGTGATTTATGTCGTGTTACTTACTAGATCTCGTTCAAATCAATTTTCGGTGGAAGTTTGCATAGTAACGTACAACATATATTTTTTTTAGTTTTATCAGTCTCTTATTTTAGAAGTTACAGAGGGAGGGGGGACGGGGAGACACATTTTACCACTTTGGAAGTGCCTCTCGCGCAAACTATTCAGTTTAGAAAAAATTATATGAGAAACCTCAATATCATTTTTGAAGACCTATCCATAGATACCCCACACGTATGGATTTGACGAATATTTTTTTGATATTCTATTCTAAGTATGGGGACACCCAAAATTTCTTGTTACATCTACTTACTAAGTTTCAACAGTGTAGTTTTTATAGTTTCGGAAAAAAACTGGCTGTGACATACGGACGAATAGACGGACATGACGAATCCATAAGGGATCCGTTTTTTGCCATTTGGCTACGGAACCCTAAAGACACACGAAAAAGATGGTTAATGAATTAGCTTCAAAACTGCGTAAAAACTTTCTGCTCAATATAACATTGGGATGGGACGGTATTCCAACCAGTTTTATCAAATACGCAAGATCATATATTGTTCCAATTATAACTCATTTTGCTAATCTGTGTTTTAAAAAGGGGACTTTCCCGTCGGTACTGAAACGGTCAATAATCAGTCCAGTTTATAAGGCTGGGGATAGAGACAGTGTTAATAATTACAGACCAATCTCTGTGCTACCTGTAATTTCTAAAATTATAGAAAAACTGTTAAATACGAGGCTGCTTAGCTATCTAAATAAATTTGACATCTTATCACCATCTCAGTTTGGCTTTAGGCGAGGGAAATCAACTGAAGATGCAGTTTTGGCACTTACATCGTTTGTTACTGAGCAGCTCGATGCTCATAAAAAATGTATTTCAGTATTTTTGGATTTACAAAAAGCTTTTGACACTGTCTCTATACCCATTCTGGTGAAAAAACTAGAAGCGATCGGACTGAAGGGAGTTTCTCTTGAATTGTTCAAAGATTACTTGTCGGATAGGCGGCAAAAGACAAAGTTAGATTCCTTCACTAGTGATGATGCAGCAGTGACATATGGAGTGCCTCAGGGAAGTGTCCTTGGACCTACATTATTCCTTATTTATATCAATGATCTTTGTGCCATGAACATTAAGGATGCAAAAATTTTGTCGTACGCTGATGACACTGCAATTGTTTTTAGTGCAGACTCTTGGGATGCTGTAAGGGAAACAACCGAGAGCGGCTTGAAACAGATAAGCAAGTGGTTACGGAATAATTTTCTTACACTCAACACTGCTAAAACAAATTATATTTGTTTCAGTCTATATAATGACGGACAACCAAACAATGATTTTTGTTTAAAGATACATGGCTGTAATTTTAGAATAGGTGGAGTTAATTGTAACTGTCCGGTTCTTCAAAAGGTTGAGAATGTTAAATATTTGGGTGTCTATGTGGATCAGAGATTATCTTGGTATCAGCATTTAGAACATGTAACTTTAAGACTCAGAAAGCTTACTTGGATTTTCAAGACACTCAGGTACATAGTACCAGTCCCAAAAAAGGATAAGGGTGATTGTAGTTCGGTAAGAGATCTCCTTAAAGAAATTTATATTTCATTGGCCCAATCTATATTGACATATTGCATACCTGTATGGGGTGGCGCAGCCAAAACGCGTTTTTTGATGTTGAGCGCGCTCAGCGAAGTCTCATTAAGGTCATGTATTTTAAAAAAAGGCGATTTTCTACTGAGTGCCTCTACAAAATTAGTAATTTATTATCTGTAAGGAAGCTGTACATAGTTCATGTTATTCTAAAAAAACATAAGTCTCTAACGTATGACCCTAAGATTTCAAAAAGGAGAAGGAAAGACATTATTATTCGTGCTTCTAGAACCAACACTTTATTTGCTAGCAGTCAGTTCAATAGTCGATCTATACACATATACAACACCATTAATAAATATATTTATGTATATGATAAAATTTATTATCAATGCAAAGAGCTACTGATAAAATGGTTAATAGCTAAAACATATGATGAAATTGAGATACTATTAAGCAGAACCTAGTATTCTTGCACACACTAAGACACATATATACGCACACAGACTACAACAACATACACACACACACACACACACACATGCATACAAAATACAAACACTCACTCCCACATTTACAGTTATGTAGGCATAAACACCAAACGTCTAAACTAATTAGATCTTGGTCATGGTTTGTTTAGATTTTATTGGATTGTTATAATTATCTATTTTAAGGAAGAGCTGTATCTCCTGACACAGGCTATTTAAGCTTAAAAGGAGATGCAGGTCATTAGTTTAAGATCACATTTTTGTTCAAGCCAATAAAAATTTATTATTATTATTAACGACAAAAATTTTAATCCCGAACAATGAGAACCTCAATGTTTACCTATAGGTTGCAACGTTTAGAAAACAACAAAAAGAAAGATTAGGTAAAGTTGACTTTATACGACGTGGTTACCGAAGCGTGGCTACCACAGTAGGTCTCCTCTACCACATAATGCGGTTGCATACCTGCTGAGGCACTATTATTCACAAGTACAAAAAAACAATTACAACTAAACAAACTCCTTTACCGACGACCGACGCCCGTGCCACGCATGTTACATTATAAATTCATTTGCGCGTACGCAAGTTGCAGCGTCATGACTTTGATTATTGGAGATGATGGTGATTATTATCCGTTTTATTGTCTCCCGAGATTGATACTATGTTCTTTTTCTGTCCATCGCCTTTATGCTGTGATGAGGTGTGCTCGCGAATACAGGTTTTTGTGCGTACCCGTCTGAGTTTATCTTTTTATAGTTACGCGTCGTTGTTGTGGCGTATGTGGTCGATATGATACACGATGCGGTTTCAGGTTATAAAAAACATTATTCTTTTTCATAAAATTAATGTTTGTTTTAAAAAAGTCATCGTCACATAGATAGTAAAAATATTTTTTGACATTTTTATGCAATTAACTTATATTTCCGTGATTAATAGTTACCCGTTAAAAAGGTATTAAAAAGTGTTCCTAGATTCAATTATATATCAATTACCCAATTTTATACATTTTAAGCTTGTTTTTATGAAATAGCATTCGGAACTATTTGTAACGATTGCTATAAAAGCCCATAATGTGCATACTATTATAGATGATGGATCATAAAAACTGTCCAATTAAAATTATTAGAATTAAATTTGGCCCGTAGCTACGCACGTGTGTACGATATCTGATAAATTGGCCATCAAATAGTGCTATTAGGTTCGTCGATTTTTACAACCAAGTTGTAACATTTTCAAGCGTCAAATAAATGAATGATTTATTGAATTTCATACACATAATAGTTCAATAAAATGTGTAAATTTTATTGGACAGCGCGTCCATAAGACTGACGTAGGGATGGACTTTCACAGTACTAGCTACAGGCTAATATGCTGATTATCTTTGACTTCTATTACGCTAAATTCTTAAAGCGCAATTTACATATGGTACATGTGTCGATTCTGTCGTGATTCTTTAAACTTAAAACTAAATTTAACATCAGTCTCTCCTTTTCATTCTGTATAGAGAATGACAGGGATGCACTGTTGTCAAATTTAAGTTTAGCTTTAGAGAATCATGCCGGAATCGACATCACTATCTATCTAAGATAATATTATGAAATAAACTCGAAACAAAAACCCTTACTGGGTTTTTGTTTCGAGTTTCGTGATATTTTAAATTTATTTTATATTAATTATTAGTTGTACCTAAATGCATACTGAAAGAATCATCATCAAGTCATAGTCAGTACGTTATTACCGAAATACTTCTTCTCGAGTGTAACTGAATACAACTTGGACGGCAATTTGCCAGTGGGAGCATTGTTCGAGCCTCGACATTAAAATTATCTATTATCGAGATTATAAAAAGAAAGTCTTTCATATTTTTTTTCCAAATCTGTTATTTGTCAAAGTTGCGGATTATTTATTACCTATCTTTGCAACAGAACCCCACCCAAAATTAACGTAGCCTTGCTATTTTGTAAGATCAAACGTTTCACCATAGAATACGCGAATGATTGTACGCGATTTTAAATTACAATACAAAGAACACAAATTTCAAATCACACCACGGATTCCGCAGTGAAAAGCCAGTTTTTTTCTTACATAATTGTATGGCAGCATAGTCATTCTGTAAGATCTAATCTCACTTACGATCTCATTTATTCGAATTTTTGACAAATATCTAATTCTGGCAGCTTCTACAGACATAGCGATATTTTACCGTTGCGTTATGTCGAAACTAATGTCGAAAATGGCAGCTACCGAAATCCGAAGTGTGGTTTTATTTTACAGAATTCCAAAACTATTTTACAAACTACTGGTGGAGTACTGTGATTTATTAAATCCAATTTACCAACATCTCATCTTCTTCCACAGGAGAAACCTCACAAGTGCAGCCTTTGCTCCAAGTCGTTTCCAACTCCGGGTGACCTCAAGTCTCACATGTACGTCCACAGTGGATCATGGCCCTACAAATGTCACATCTGCTCAAGAGGATTCTCCAAACACACAAACTTGAAGAATCACCTGTTTTTACATACTGGTAAGCACCCGAAACATCTCGATTTTAATGGTTTCTTCTGGTGAGAAGGGTTCCAGGGCTCCGTGGGGTAGAGGATTGGGTTCAGACCGGAAAGTTGAGGAAGGCAGGAGCTGCACACTTTCTGCCGGATCATACGCTTTCTTCGTGACTACTGATACCACACTTAACATCTGGCGGTATGTGGTAGTTTGCTGTGCCTCGTAAAAAAACACTTATCACACTCTAATGGGTTAGCGGAGCATCTGTTTACTTACATATGTACTCCTAAATAACATTTTGTTTGCAATTGATTTAGTGTATGTTATCTGGAAAAAAAATAAGCAACAGCCACCGCCAAAACACTTACCAAATGTAACCTCTCAGTTGATAGGCTTTTACTGTCTGCTCTGGAACCAATCCAGCTGGCCCATTTTATGATTTAATAACTAGACTATGAAGATCCAAAATCCTGTGGCGGCGTTAATGCGCGTAATGAGCCCGAATATTTGTTCTTCTAGATGGTTTTGTTTCTCTTGTTGTTTTGAGCACAAAATGTCAACCCTCTAGAATACAATTGAAACGTTAAGTCGATTTAATTATCAATTAAGACCGAATATTTGCCTAGGATATTTATGTCATCATCATCATCAGCCTATTAATGTCCCTACTGCTGGGGCACAGGCCTTCCCTATAGATGGAATAGGAAGATTAGGCCAGCACTCACCACGCGATTTTTGATTTTGATTCACCAGTTTTTGATTCTTGACCTTGATCATTCAAGAATTAAATACCACATAGTGTTCTCTGACCTCAGTTAGTTTAAATAAATGTCTGTCGCATCATTCATGTCATATTCTGTTAAGTGTTAAGAAATGAGTATGACATTGTTTAACACATCATCATCAGCCTATTAATATCCCCACTGCTGGGAGACAGGCTTTCTCTATGGATGGAATAGGGAGATTGGGCCATGACCCACTACGCGGGCCCAGTGCGGATTGGCGGGTACTAACAACTGCAGATGCAGCCGGGACCAACGGCCTAACGTGCCTTCCGAAGCACGGAGGAACTTGAGATAGAAGATTTTTGGTCACCCATCCAATGACGGACCATTGCGAAAGGTCCTTAACTTCAACGATCGCAGCCTACTAATTATTACATACCTACGTTTCCTTTAATACTTTTATTAAATATTTGTTTATGTTTTGTTACAGCGAAACATCAGAAGAACAGCGCGAGAGAAGCTACGTGAACAAAATGTCTGCGATTTGTTTATGACAAAAAGAAGTTACATATCTATGTTTAATGATATAAAAGTGTGATACTAGTAATAGTTAATTTTAAGTATTAATTTATTATTTTAAATATTTCGTCAAGCTAAATCTGGTTTTAAGTTTTGATATAGGTATCTGTATCATCCCATAAAAGACTTTAAATTAGGGCGCATTTTAGGGTTAGTCGCTTGAGAAGTAAATGAACTAATAAAAAAAGACTAAAATTAGTGAGTTACGTAAATGACATTTAAATAAAATAATATTTCTTAAGAAATTGCATATTGTTTTTTACAAATATTATGAAGTGTAATTTAATTAACGCAGTGGTTGTGTTTGGTATAAAAGTAGACTATAATTTGTAAATAAAAATGTAAATATTTTAGGTTTAAGATCTACATAGGTTTATGTAGCTTGGAGTATTTTTGATATACATACATTGAGTACGTATATTGTGATTTCATATAACCGTCCAAATGATATCTGTATATACGTATATTGCAACCGTCGACATTTTACAAATCAATAATTTATGAAAAACTATTTATACTAAGATAAGTTATTCGAGTAATAAATTTTATATATTAATTATTTGTTGTTACTATTACATTCTTTTCTTTTAAAAATACCTAGATCTTAGACTGAGACTGCAAACCATGGAATACGCCAAATTTTGACAAAATGGTAGAAGCCCTTTAATGAACCAAATTCTAAAACATTTTGATTAGATGCCTCTTGTTCTTTTCTATCTAGAACTTGACTAAACTAACAACATCGTAAGAGTGTTCTTCCCCACACCTTGCTTATGTGCTAAGTTGTTCACGCGCTTATTTATAAAGTGAAAAATAAGGTGCCTGTCACGGTTCTGCAAAATGTAAAGAGTTCTTTCACGAATGATGCTTTTGGTACCTAAAACAAGTTCCCATAGGCTGTGGTAAAAGCTTACCATCAGGTGGGCCAAATGCTTATTTGCCATCTCAGTAGTTTAAAATAGTCAATCCATCAGCGTTGAGTTAGTATACACAATGAAATATAATGTTTGCTACTTTTATCATATTATTCAGGCCCTGTAAGGGAAGAGATTCATACGTGGCGAGAAACTAGTGTTACTCATAAAGTCGACGATGTTGCAGATCAGTTAGATGAAGTTGACTGATTGCAAAATATAAACAATTTTGATAAGAAACTAAACACTGAAGAAGCAAAAATACTAAACAATAAAGTGCCTGAGAAGATAACAAAAGTAATGTATTCGCATCTGTCCTTTCAGAAGCGAAAATGTTGATGACAATAAAAACAATTTTCATGTTTGTCAGCGTGAGTTTTAATTACAAACAATTAATGACGTAAATTAAAGATTATGATCAAATACCTATTCATCGACGCTATTTCGAAAAAAGAACAAAACCAATAACCATTCTCATTCCTCTCATCACATCTATTCTAAGTCCAAAGAGAATTTATTGCGCCTTTTAAATATAGCAACGGTCAAAGCGAGTAGGCGTCGCAACACGCAATCCTGATACTGATTTGCATAAAACAACTTCAGTTGGTGGTATTAAGTCTTAATTGTGGCTGCCGTGGAGCATGGCAGCGTCCTGTGGGACGCTACATGCTCCCGGGGCCCGATAAAAGCAATTCTAGCAATTCATTCTCGAGGGAAGCGTAAGGAGTTATGGTAAGGACATTGAGTGTAGCTGTAGCTATTTGAAAGTGTAGTTACCTATGTCTGGATACAAAGTCAATAAGATTTATACTGAAGACTTGCAAAATTAAAATGTTACAAATAATGGCTCAAACCTTAATAGAAAAGGGGACGAAAGAAAATAATTCCGGCGCAAGTTTTGTAAAATTACTAACACACGGGTATTTTTGGAAACCTTATACACATATATATACATATTTTAGAACATAACAATTTCATTAATAAAACTGCTTTAATATTTGAAGTTATAGATACTACATACGACGTTGGACATCATGTTGCTGATAAATAGGTACAGTCCTGATAAAGGATGGATAGATGTTTATTACATAATCATAAGTATCATGCGTCTATGTTTATCCTCACTGCTCTCAACGCAAGTTTCTCAGTAGACACAGAAGAAGACAGAAGACATTGGTAGTATTACTATGGTACGAACTGGCCACTAGGCCGTGAGATATGTTATATTGACTTTTATTTGTCTTTGGTTTGCTTGTCTTCTTTGCTGTCATCCTCGTTATAAGCTTGCATTTTGGTTTGAATCTATTTTAATTCTATTTATTATAATTGTTTCCTTTACTTTGAGCCCTTTCCTTTCTTCTTACTCCTTATTTCTATCACCTATTATATACCTTACATACTACTTCCTACTCCTGCTTATATTATAAATGTGAAAGTTTGTATGTTTTTTACTCAGAAAATACTGAACGGATTTTGACGAAAATTGGTATGGATATAGTTTATTACCTGGATTGAGATATACGGTTTTTTCCCCGGGTAAATGTTAAGTTCTAGTGGGATTCTCAAAAAACTAAAGTAAACGCGGATGAAGTCGCGAGCGGCCGTTAGTAGCGTCATAATTCACAACCGTATCGTAAGCTTATTGGCTGGTGCTAACGTCTGATCTGACTGCTATTGCAACAGCTTGCAAAGACTTTCTTAATTTCCGAGAAGAGAATAAGTTCCTGGGCGATTAATTCAATCATCGACCTTAGATAATAAACTACAGACTCAAGACGCTTAAGATTAATAGACGGACAAACTAAACCGCAAAAATCTACCCTGCTTTATGTTTCTCATTTTAGCCAGGTAGGTTTAAACCATTAATGTTTTAATCACAGTGTTACGTCTATTTTTGATATCATGATGAATGCCTTTGTACAAATAAATAATAAGTAGTGTCCATATATTGTTGAAGATAAAAAGTGATGATACAATGTACCTACTGCTAGTACATTTCATTTTTGATATAATCATTATGTGTAACTTTCACTGCATCGTAATAAATTAGTTTGATTTATAATTAATAGTGATTGATTCGGTAAGGAATGATGAATGGTCGTACATAATGATTACTCTATTGATGAAACAAAAGAAGACTTTTAAAAGCTTTCAAAAACATATAAACAATTCGACGCACTTGAAAGATTAGGTTATATGAGATTTATTTCATACCAATATCAAATAATTTCTCATTTTTTAAAAGGATACTTATTACGATTGCTATGGCAATGAATACTAGAGTAGAGATTTTAATTTTGATGAAAAAAACATCCAATTATTTCTCGCGCCCTTATCTTTTTTATTACTTTTTACCGAAACGCTTAAAGATATTTAAGTTAGGGATTAAGTAATTTTTTGAAGTATTTTTTATTTTCACTAAATTTAACAATATCTCATAGTTAGCTACTCCCGGCAACATAAAGAAATATAAAACAACATTATACATGTAGCAGTTGTATATTTTTATTGAGATTCTATGACAAATATTTTTTAAATTTTAAGTTTTCGCCGAATGGTATTCCAGGAGTCTTGATAGCGTATAACTGCCGTCACGTTTGCTTTACAATACGGATCACAATATTAAAAAAATGTAGCGTGAATTGAAAAAAATAAGGGTAACATTAGATTCAATCATTGGTATGATAAATCTTTACACGAAAACAATTATAACATTACTTCCATTGGGTGGTCCGACGGGACCACCGAAACGTTTTCTTTATTACTTAATGATATTCTTAAGAGATCACGATGTTGCTCTATACTCAAAATCTATTAATTTATAACTACATAATCATATTGATACTTAAAGGCGTGGGTGTTATTTTGGAATAATGTACTTGATGTATTTAACTATTAAATTAGCAGGGTTATGTTAGGTTGAAAATAGTTACGGAGAGCCACTCAAAGAAGGGACGTAAATGGTAAAATTCGTACATTTCCGGCATTTAAAAGAATTTACCGTTGCCAAAAGGTAGGGTCCGTTTTTATCTTTCCATCGTTAATACCCTGTAATTGATTGGAAAGCCATCACCTTCTATTTTCAAGTTGTAAAAAAATAAATGCTTCCCCAAAATAACGTTACACTGTCACAAAATGTACCGTTCAACGTTCACATCTTTGACACTTCGCAACAGCAAACTGTTGAAAAAAACTAATTCCATCATTCACTAATCGCTTATCGCTTTCAAGCACTTTTTTTCTCATTCTCCATTCTCATTTCACTTTTCGGAAAAAAGTTAAAAGCTATACGAAGTAGTGTAACATTCACAATTTAAACTGTGATTACAAAAAGCTCGATTAAATCAACAATTTGGATCGCCGCGGTGTGTACAATGCCATAGTTCGCAGTTTGGCGTAGCAAGATCGTCGGTTAATAATAGACTAGTTTGTGTTCGGACCCACACTATCTTTTGTGATGTGGTTTGCTTGCATTTCTTTCTAAAATTTTAGCTAAAATTTATATTTATATTCGTATGTTCTCGTCATTGTTGAAATAATATTTCAGGTAGTGCTTAAACATTATTGAGATTATTTTAATAATCTTTTTGATTTTCATAACATTTATCATTCTATTATAAGTAATATGTAATAGTTATTTATTATACAAGAGTGGAAAGTTCCTTTTTAACCGCGTGCTCGATTTGGATGACCGAGCAAGCGAAGGATTCTAAAGTTGAATCACGAGCGCAGCGAGTGATTCTAAATTAGAATCCTGAGCGTCAGCGAGGGAAACAAACGAGCACAAGGTGAAAAATCTTTCCACTCGAGTGCAATACGTAACTTTTCATCCCACCTCAGCGAGGAAATGACAAAATGAAAAAGAAAACAATTTATAATGACAAAATATTTTTATTTCAATTAAAACACATTAAGATAATCTATAAATTGAAGAAAATAATAAGAAGTAGAAAATAATTAAGAAATATTAAATGTAACGTTGCTACAGTTACTTATGTTAAGTTTAATATTTTTGTTAGGTAATGTTATGTTGGTGTTTGTGAATTGTGCGCTGTTTTGTGGTAAACTACTCGTATCAGTAATTTTAAATAGTTGTGCCGATTCATTGGATTCTATTGGCGTAAATGTTGGCGAGAGAGGGCTATTGTTTCCAATCTTATGGGGGCTCATTTTAGATGTAGAAGGGCGAGACCAAGAATCTGACAGAGGTTCTTTCAGCGTTATGGCCTCCACGATACTATTACAAATTTTTGATTTACTTTGGATTGAATCCTCTATGTATCCCTCTACAACCGAATTAGACTTCCAGCCTCCATGGCGCTTAAGCGATAGAAGATCAGCCCCTGATTCGGCCAAAAGTGTGGCTGAGGTTCTTCTAAAACAGTGACCGGTGTATAACGGGGGTTCTAAAAGTCCGAGAAAAGTTGCTATTTCTCGTGGAATACTGTCAATTTTATTCTGACCCATAGGTTGTCGGATACACTTTCCGTTGCGATATTGTAGAAAAAATCGTTCAATTGGGGTGTTAGAAGGACGTAAAGCTTGATATTTCTGAACAATGTTTACATATTCCTTGCGAATAACGAAGTTGCGGTCTTTTTTTGTCTTGGTATTTAGTACAT